TAATGTTTTAGAAACTTTTGAAGTGCAATTCTATTATTGTTGAGCAGCTCATTAATTTTAAAATTTAATATACTTATAATAATGTAGGTACCTATATACTTCAATTCAATTAATTACAATAACATGTAAGTGTAGTACACATTTTGATGATATATCATTCTGTTATTCATGTTAAGTCACTAGTTACTTTTCACTTGTTGTTTTCCAACAATCGTTTATTGATCGGTTTTTATTAGCCCGAAATTAAGTCATTTTAATAATAACGTAATAATAATTATTATATTTGATGTAGGGCTTACAAATTTAACAATTAATAGCTTAGATTTTTAATATTATACATCATTGATATAATATCAGTCTAAAATATTAAATTTTATACGTCATGCCTACATTCGAGTTGATCAAGATTTATTTACAATACCTTGAAAAATTGAAAGTGTTTTAGATACCTACGCATTGAACTATTTAATGTGATACAGAGTGGCAGATAAGTTACTTTACAGTAAATCTAGTTTTACTATTAATACATGGCAATAGGCCTATTGATAATGTTATATACATTTTTAGAAATTTATATTTCAAAAAATCATTTTACAAATGTCATTAATGACCATTCACTAAGTATATAATATAATAATATAGTATAGACATATAGTCGTGTAGTTAACACAAATATTAAAGGAAAAAAAATGATCGGTATGTTATTAGTTATTACTAATATGACTAATATGATAAGTGTGCTATTATTATGTATGAAGGCATGTCAGTTAAGTTTAATAGCAATGAAAAAAAAATCGTATACACTGTAATTATTTACCTGAAATACTGCAGTAGCATACTTGCAAGTCAATTTACTATATACAAGTTTATATACAGTACATAATTCTCGTATGCATTTGGCTGTTTGAGCTAAATTCATTTTGAATGATATAAGTATTAAAGTATTATATGAATATTATATAGATCAATAATCATAATAGTATGAATCCAGTTGCTTAATATCGATTACGAATATTAAGATTTATAATAAATTTGTAAATGTAATAATAGGTAAATAAGTTTCCATTTTAATTTTTCAGCGTAATTTTGTACACTACCTATTTGATAAAATCGTGAGAAGTCGATTTTATAGGCGTTCCTATCAAATTATATTCCTGTTTTAAAATCCTATGTAGCATTTCGTAGTAATGTACAATAAAAATGATGCAATTTGTAACGGCATATCGCGTAAAAACACTGGACGGGTACGTGTAAGTCGAGTTTAAAGTGATATTTTATTATTTATCAACGTGTCGTCACGGGCAAAAGCCGTCGAATGGGCAAACGAAATGGAAAACAAAGGTTGTTTTAAACGTGACAAGATCGTTCGCTTTTGTCGACGTTAATATAACATCAACATCAAACGGCAAACAGAGTCGAAAACAAAAACGACCGTTAAGCTCGGTCAAAGGTTACGTATTCAGTTGGATTCCGACGGGAGCCGTACGCCCGTGCCGCCGACATGGCCATATCGCTATTCGCTATAGTGCCATACCGAGTCATTTGACGGGAAACGAACGGCGATAACACGTCGGGCGTAGGGGCGAGGCGCAGTATTGGCGGTTAGGCGAGAGTGAGTAGCGAGTGAGTGAGTACGTGACAGACGAACTGCCGAGAGAGATGGGGCGAGAGCGATGAAAAATATTAAAAAGGAAATAATTTAACGGACTCTTACTGAAACGAACGCTGGACGGGGTGGGCGGAGAGACGGGGTACGTTGGTTGCGTGTGCGTTGGTGATTCATAGCGCAAGCGGTGCGGATGTGGTGGGAAGCGTAGGCACCGCATTGCCGGTGTGCCGAACAGCGCGTCGTCGATCTGCAGACGGGTTTCGGAGCATACAACACGGACGCCGTCTGCCGTTTGGCGTCAATTTGTGTTTGGACGTGTACGAAGCCGCTTCGATCGCTTCTTGTCTGACATAATAAACTTTTAGAGTTTAACCTCAACCGTTCGTTCCTATCCAACGAAAACACTCAAACTTCAAAATGGTAAGTAAACGATACTCGATTTACCTCGGCGTTGTAATATTGCCCAAGTTTTTATTCGTTTTACGTACATCTCGTTAACACTCGTCTGAACGATCACCGGTGGCTGCGCCATCTTGACACGTCCGCGCTACGGGGCCGGTCGCTCGTCATCTTGGCCGTATTTCGTCGTCTTACTTTATTTCCGGCCGACATTCTTTCCGTCACCGTCACCGTTTACCAATTTTTTTCGTTCGCTTCCGATCTTTGACCATCGGACTAGCTACCGAATGGGCGTGACCGGAATTCCGCACGAAAAACCGTTAGCCGGTAACGTCTTTGTATGTTCGGCCGACGTGGCGATTTTTTTAAAACGGACGTGACTCGCGTTATTCTTTTCACGAAATGCTATTGACAAAAATATCATTTAAATATCTAGGATCTAGGTATTTTGTTCTTATGGTTTGTTTTTGGGAAACGGCTTGTAGATTGAGACCAAATCCGATAGACTTTTTATGATTATCATTGACGCGACAAAACGTTGGTAAGGGCGTAATCATCGTTACATTTAACTTTTTTTTTCTTTTTTTTTTTTTTGGTCGTGATAAAGTGGGTGGCGGTGCCTAGGTTATTGTTTATTATTATTACCGATTTGTATGACTGTAAAAAGTTTGGTTTTTTTAACCCCTAAGTGTCTGTATTATGCATTAAGACGTATTTAATATTTATATTTATTAATTGTTAAATAATAAAAAAAAAAAATATTAATGATCAATTATTTTTTAATGTTGGAAATTTTTTTGAGGTATAGTAGTTACTTGGTTGCTAAAATTTTAATTGAAAGTCATGAGAAAAACTAATTAACTTTTTTTTCTTATTTGATTTTTTCGATTTTGATAAGATAAATAGGCAATTAAAATGTTACATCTCGTTAACTCGTCTATTATTAATTATTAGTAAGTGAAATTAGTGTCTTAAATTACACATATAATGTACTGTTTTCAGTAATTTACAGTTATAACTATATTTTTATTTTATTCATCCTTGAAATTTTTTTTTTTTTTTTAATTTGAATTATACCTATAAATTGAATGATATTATTTGATGCTTCATTTGATTAATTTTTTTAAAATTAAATTAAATTTCTGATTTATAGAGTTAGCTGTATAAATATAATGGTTTTGCATAATCAGACTCAATATTTTTTTTTTAAATTTAAAATATTATTGGTGGTTTTGAAGACAACTAAATATTTCTATAGGTATAAAATCTGTATTATCATTACAGTCCTGTGAGCTATAGCTGCTATGTATTCATCGTTTTATTTTTAATTTATACATTTGATTGAAATTTTAATGTCATGGATTTAAATTGTTTTTGAAATAACTTATTGTTGAGAACCTATTAAATATTTTAATTTCTTTATTTTTATTGCGTGAATGTATCTCAGTACATGTTGGTCAAGCCGGAGTCCAGATTGGTAATGCCTGCTGGGAATTGTACTGTTTGGAACATGGAATTGCTCCAGATGGTCAAATGCCATCTGACAAGACCATCGGAGGTGGAGATGACAGTTTCAACACCTTCTTCAGTGAAACTGGCTCAGGCAAACATGTGCCAAGAGCTGTGTTTGTTGATCTTGAACCGACTGTTGTTGGTAAGTTTAGTAAAATATAAAATTTCTATTAAAGAATCTAATTTACATTTTAATTTTAGATGAGGTAAGAACTGGAACATACCGTCAATTGTTCCACCCTGAACAATTGATCACTGGTAAGGAAGATGCTGCCAACAACTATGCACGTGGACACTACACTATTGGAAAAGAAATTGTTGATGTTGTTTTGGACAGAATTAGGAAATTGGCTGATCAATGTACTGGTCTTCAAGGATTCTTGATCTTCCATTCTTTCGGAGGTGGTACTGGATCTGGCTTCACATCATTGTTGATGGAAAGACTTAGCGTTGACTACGGAAAGAAGAGTAAATTGGAATTCGCCATCTACCCAGCCCCTCAAGTATCCACTGCTGTAGTTGAGCCATACAATTCCATCTTGACCACACATACAACTCTCGAACACAGTGACTGTGCATTCATGGTTGACAATGAAGCCATCTATGACATTTGCCGTCGTAATCTTGATATCGAACGTCCAACATACACTAATTTGAATCGTCTTATTGGCCAGATTGTATCTTCAATCACTGCTTCTCTCCGTTTCGATGGTGCCCTTAATGTTGATTTGACTGAATTCCAGACCAATTTGGTCCCATACCCCCGTATCCATTTCCCATTGGTCACCTATGCCCCAGTCATCTCTGCTGAAAAGGCTTACCATGAACAGTTGTCTGTATCAGAAATCACCAATGCTTGTTTTGAACCGGCCAACCAAATGGTGAAATGTGACCCACGTCATGGTAAATACATGGCTTGTTGCATGTTGTACCGTGGTGATGTCGTACCCAAAGATGTCAACGCTGCCATTGCTTCTATCAAAACCAAGAGGACTATTCAATTTGTTGACTGGTGTCCAACTGGTTTCAAAGTTGGTATCAATTACCAACCCCCAACTGTGGTTCCCGGTGGTGACTTGGCCAAAGTACAACGTGCTGTTTGCATGTTGTCTAACACTACAGCTATTGCTGAAGCTTGGGCTAGGTTGGACCACAAGTTCGACTTGATGTATGCCAAACGTGCTTTCGTCCATTGGTATGTTGGAGAAGGTATGGAAGAAGGAGAATTCTCTGAAGCCCGTGAAGATTTGGCTGCTTTAGAGAAGGATTACGAAGAGGTTGGCATGGACTCCGTCGAAGGAGAAGGTGAAGGTGGTGAAGAATACTAAACATTGAAGTTCCCAGACAACCCATGCTTGATTTTACAATTCCAAAAATTTAATTAACCTCAGTATTTTTTTTTTATATGGACATTTTTAGACATTTTATTTAAAATAAAACACGCAATTTAAAGAACTTTGTTTTTTTATTTTTACCAAGTTTCCTTAATATTGTACCATACATTTTTCAAATTTATTACTAATTATCTAGATTACTTATTGCCAATGTATTTATACAGTTGGCTTGACAGTGGACTTAGTCTTTAGGGTACATCTTTTGTAACGATTTCTTTGGTATGTATCTAGCTCCATCAAAATCTTCAAAATATAGGTCTATCTCTTTGTGTTCTATCTAAAATGTTCAGTTTTATTTTATATTAAATAATGGTAATGTTAATTTTTCTTTAGAAAATTTGATTTAAATCACCTTGATGTTTTCCAATTGAATTAGTATTTTATCTTGGTCTATTTTAATCAATTCTTCATGAAATTCTGTTAATATGAAGTATTCTGGTTCTTTAGTCAGATCCTAATGAAATAAAAAATTTTTATTAATCAATGATAATTAACTATTTTATTTATATACAAATTTAAACGTAACATATTTTATTTATTACACAATTTAAACCTATTTTGCTTGAGTTTTTTAATTAATTATACTGTGAGTTGTTGTATTTGTTATCACATAAACTAATTTTCAGTTAAATAGAAAGTAGGAATTTCATAAATTAAAATAATTCAATTTTTTTTTATGGTTACAATTGTTTTTGTTTATAAAATATTAAGTAAAAAGTGATTTAACTTTGGTGTAGCTTACTCAAGCCTGAACTGATGGTACATTTTTCTAATATTGAATGTAATAATATGCATATTATACTTTTAAAAATGATAATATGAACAGTTAATTTATGATTTATTTGCAGCAATAAGTGGGATAGAAGTGATTTGAAGGTTGTATTATCATTTAAATTTATTTGTATATTGAATTAAGTTAGTATTAAGTTGTGTTGAAGTATTGTATACTTACTTTTATATCAATGTTCCATCCAACAATAATGCCAGCTATCATAGTCTGCGTCAATACTATTTGTCCAATTCTATATTCTAAATGAGGTGGTCTAAAGTTTCGAATTAAGTTTTTTGGTACTTCTTGGTCTTCTGTTGAATCATCTTTAAATGATTCTGATTGACTTAAATAGTTGAATGTGCTAAGCAGGTAATTTTCTTGAAAAAGTGAGTTTAAGTATTGGATTTTTAAATAATTATTCAATATAATAGACACTAAAATAATTTTTATTATTTTGTATTTGATATGGAGAGTGATGATGTTATTTTTCATGATTGCCTTTTGAAACGTTAATAATACTTAGATTAAATTTTCTACTTCATTATTATTTCTTGTAAGAAAGTAAATTTAGTTGATATTTGGTGGAAAGGAGGGAGTCAAAGTAATACATTTCCAGTACTTTTCTTAATTGGCAAAAATAGGAAGTTTTATATAAAAGTGGTTTTTGAAAAAATCTATTTTTAATTTGTTATATCTAATTCTAAAACTAATAACTATACAGATACTTGAAATTTTTATTAAATGTTAATTATATAATTTTCTAGCCATGGTTTAATTTTCAATGAGTTGACTTTTTTTGATTTATTAATACTTTATAGATATTTGAAATTTTTCATTTTTTTTTTTACTAAAATGTTCATAAAAAATTTCTTAGTTTGTTAAAAAAGCTTGAACATTTTATTTAAGGTTTCCAATAAGTTGTTATTAATTATTATTTGAATTCAAAAAAAGTTAGCTTGTATTTTATATATTATAGTTAGTTTTTGATGTTCAATGTATATTAAAACTTAATACATATTTAAACAAAGATTAATCCATCAAATACCATAGGTTAGGGTCTAAATAATTTACTTATTGAAATCTATTTATTTTACATAATTTCTAAAACAAAACTATTAATAATATTATGAACTTTAATAAAGTATTAAGTTTATTTAAAACTTAAACGTGTAAACATATTTATGAGTTAAAAACAAATTCACGACATAAGTGTAGTTAATTTGCCTATTTATAATGCCGCATGACAAACATTTCGTTATTTCATATCAATAGATAATATAAATCTATAGTAAAAATTAAAACAACGCTGTTTTTTAAAATAAGAACACATAATAGATATTTTTAATTTCTTACTAATTTAAGGTGTTCAATATTATTTAGTAAATTATTAATATATTACTAATATGTCATAAAAATTAAAGTTAAATTTAAATTGTAGTATATTGTATTGTTATTGACAATCACACTACTAGTATTTTTATTTTATAGATTTAGTATTGGGTATACAGTACATACATTTAAATTGAATGATCATTTTGAACTAAACAAATGAAAATTTAATAATGACTTTCGTAAGTATTAAAATTCATAGCAACAAAATTAATTTGTATAAAACTTAAGGAGTCACTTAAGTGTAGGTATATTAGATTTCGCGTGTATCTCGTCATTATGTAGACCACTGTAAGCCCACGACTGGTGTACTTGGCCTATATTTGGTATTGGTGGTTACTTACCATTCCGTTGGATCAGCATACTTGTACAATTATTGTTACTGGTGCCGTTCCCGAGGATTGTCGGTAAATGTGACAAAAGTCAAAGGAACGGCCAGTATACTTGTATTACTGATCCCACGACTGATTTGTGAAGACCAGGAAAAACAGTAGCATGCTAACTTTGGACCAGATCTAATGACGCCAAAGTTAATGAGTACTAATATTAAATAATATTTTATAATGTAATCATTTTTTTAATGTACATTAATATAAATTTTTTTTTTTACAAAATAACAAAAAAGTGAAAATATTGAATTATTATTAAAATGTGGCCTCCAACAGAGGCGTAATTACGGGAGGGGGAAAATATCCCTCCATCTGCTATATTTATTCATTTATATTTTATTGTTTCTTATCTTAATTTTAAGTTTAAATACAAATTTATATATTATTACGAACTAAAAATAAAACGATAACAATTTTAAAATTTCATTAGTAAGTTTTTAGTGCATTAAAATCCGAGCCTTAGTGATGAGTTATCAATGTATTATAAAGGGCGGTGTGGTGGCAAAGCCCCCATAAGTCTACCTTGAAGTATTTTTTGATACCCTTTTTTTTTAAAATTCTGAATTACGCCACTGGCCTCTACCACCAATATTTGCTATAAACAACCAGCTGTGAGAACAGTGTACTTGGTTACTTGTACAAGTGCTCAATTATTAGCGTATTTGGCAAGTACACCAGACATGGGAATGCAGCGTGCATACGTTAATGATAATCATTATTTATTACGTATAGAAAACGATTTTTTGTAAATATGTGTGTACCATTTATTTATGTTAATTTTAGGTGATATATTTTTCTATAAGTAATACGGTTTAAGTTAAACTATTTATTTTTTCAATAACATATATAAGATACCTATTTTTTAATATCATTATGTTATCGGCTAATTGTATATCTATTGATCAATTGATCACAGTATAGCCATTTGTAATAATTAATAACTAATAAAATTAATTATTTTTACACATATATTAAATAGTCCATAACTTATATTGAACACATAAAAATAAAGTAATAATTGACAAAAAAAAAAAATAAAAACCAAGATTTAATCTCAACGGAATTCTGAATTATGTTGACTAATGTTTGGTTTTAATTAGGTGTTCTGGTGTAGGTACTTTACGAATAATTTGTTAAAGCCATTAAAGAAGACGCTTTTTAACCACCATTAGAGGTAGGGGGACTAAGTCCCCTTGCACCTTTCCACTTTGTTTGTTAGCTGTTAGGGTTGCTACATTTTATTTTACTTAAGCCAGGAAAAATATGTTTCGTAAACTATAATCGTTATTTTTCTTTTAAGTACAGTAGAAACTCGATTAACCGTCACTCGATTTACCGTCAGTTTCTGTTATCCGTCATCGGTCACCGTCAAAAAAAAAATTAACGATGCGATTGCGATAAAATCGTCGCGGTACCTAACGCGGCGACTCTCTTGCGTATAAAAATAGTTTATATTGTTTATATTATCAATGTAATAAATGCGATAAATGCGATAATTTTCAATAAAGATGACGGATTATTTTGTTTAATATTTTTTAGAATGGTATTCTTTAAGTTATTACATATTACATATTATTTACATTATTAGTATTTATTATTTATTAGTACATATTTATTATTTATTACTTATTATTATTTTATAACTATTATATTAATTTTTTTCTGAAAATTACGTTGTAAAATACATATATACGTTTATTGAAAAATTGTTTTGTATTATTGTATTTCTGTTAATCGAGTTTCTACTGTATTCAATTTTGTGAAACTTCAAATCTCTATAAAAAAATGTATGTTCTTATATTTTCGATACTATTTAATTAGGATCAAAATAAATTATGACTTTTAATTGTTTAAGCTTTCTGACTTTATAAAAAAAAAAATTACTATAAGCAGTAGATAGATTCAAATTTTTATTTGAAATTCAAAAAGTGCCAAAATATTTTGATAATTATGTATTATATGTATATTCTATACAAAATTAATATATTTCTAGTTTTTACGGTTAAAATTACAAAAAATGACTTAAGTAATTTTTTGGTTATTTTGTAAATCACTGGGAATTTTTTACTTTTTATCCTTTGACATAAAAACTAGGTTTAGAAGATGACAGACAAATAAAATCACATGATCGTAAAACCAATACATTATATTATATACATTCATTGTCTTTTCAGCTTAAATCCTAAAGAAGTCATCAGAATTAAAAGAAAGCCGCTTATTCTATTCATAATATTTAGAATATCACTTGTTATTATACCTATATTGAGTCTAATGATTGTGGAGGTTTATTTTAGTTGTCACAAGTTGATTTCGTGAGAGTAGAAGATGTTGGTACTATAGCGAAATTGTCGATGCATTATAATTACATTTTACGGAACGAAATTTAAAAACCATTTGTTAATAAATTTATGCATTCATAGTTTCAAAAAAAAAAGTTTTGAATTTCCGGGTAACTTATCACTTACTCGCAACGTGGATGTATCCGGCAACGTGGATGGACAGCTGCAGCAGGTCATTCGGTATGTTCTTCACGATTTCCGATACTAAGTGTTTGAAGTTTTGATTGTGCTTGATCAGGTACATTTGTAACGGTACCGCCGCCAACAACAGCATCAACACAATGACGTGTCGGACTTGCATGATTCTACAGTAGGTGTTTTATTGACTATCGATTTAATACTGATGCACCTCTTCTGTACGGGTCATCGACGGCGTCCTGTCTATTTCGGTTATTGCAAATATTAGGCCGATGGTGATTTTTTTTTTTTTAACAAAAACGTTTTATAATAATATGATATGACGTGTATTTATTATCAAAACGATGAAAAATAAATCGCAAATAATGTGATAAACGCTAGCATCTTATTTTTGTGAAAATATTTGAGACGCGAACCGCATTACATGTCGAGTGAAACGGGTTGAACGAAATGCCTACCTATATTATTTGATAAATCGAAATCACGTGTACACTTAACGATTGAAAATATTTTGAATAATGTGCAGTGCTTACGATCAAATAATGATGTATAAAAGTCGATTATACAATACGATTTTATTTTCCACACCTCGACCGTTGGTTTGCTGTGAACACAGGTGTTTTATATTGTGTATATAATATGCTTATAGGCATCATCGCATTTAGCTATATTTAATGTTATAGCTAGTACACACGTGTATGTGATATAATAGTGTATATAGCATACAGAGTGATTCTTTTTACTGCAGTAAACACTTATTATTATCTCAAAAAGTTATATCCTTTCCTATTCAAGAGAACACAATTCTACTGTTGGCGTCGGATCAGACCTCTCTAATGTCTTTCATTATTATGCGTAGACAATTTTTTTTCTTATAGATCTTTTAACGATTTCAGTTGTTGTGCTGTAATTCTATGAATAGTAATCGTTATTGTAGTTGAAACTTTTCACCGTTACACGATTAAATTTTCAAAATTTTTGACTAATTTTAAGTAATTTCTATTCTACACGCTTACGGACCCATTAACACCGTTCTACAGTATGTTAGTATTGACTTATAATGTATTAATTAATCACTAATAACAATAATATGTACATTATTATATTATATTATAATTTATAATATTATAGTAATTATTCTTAAGAGGAAAAGAAATTACTAAAATTACTCAACACAAATAAATCATAGAATAGGTATCATTAAAAATAGACGCCGTTGAGTGGTCACTAATAGTGTCTCTTCTCAGAATATTATTTTTCGTATTTAATACTTGATCATTGCATTTAAATTTGACTCGTCTATTAAACTACTATAATGATGACTATTGACTTAATGATGAAATACACTCGAATCCCTCTAAACAACAGAATTATCCGGATTTTTTGTAAATCAAAATGTTCAAATACCTTTCAGATCAGGCATGGATCCAAGAGGGAGGGGATATAAGCTTCTTAAGCTCCCTTAAAATTATTGTATATTATATATTTATTTATATAATAAATAGTTTATACTTTTTAAAATCCATTAATACAATTATTTTTTATACTGTCATCAAATCTTATCTATAATATTATTTACAATATATTATGCACTAAAATTGAAATTGTATTTTTTTCTGAAAAAAATATAACCACCTTATTTCAGATTTATAAAGTATTTACTATTAAAATATAATCACTCATACTACGCCTACCTATTTCGTCTTTTGGTTGATTTTTTTTTTTGTTATCACGAATGAGACAAAAATTATCGTATAATGTGTAACCTATAATAATTATTTATTAGCGATAATATTATCGCATACTTATTCTTAACGTCACAATTTACTATTATATAAACACAACACACATATAGCATTATTATTATAAAAGTATGATGTTTATATTTTAATAAATACATTTATAATAATAACGTCATAACGATTTAAAAACAATTTTAAAATTAAAAAATAATAATAATAATAATGACGATGATGTATTATTGTCGACGCTATATTATTATTGAGTCTATGTTGATGTGTATTATATAGAACATATCAATGGTATAATTAAATAGTGTAACATGAGTCGATTGCACTGATGATGACTCCTCCTGAGCATTAGTTTAACAAGACGTTTTTCATGTCTTGTAGGATTTCTAACTGTTGCAAAAGTCCTGAAACACATTCAAAAACAGAAAAAAATAAAATTAGGCGTTAAAATAACAGTTATTATATGATATAGTAAAGCATTTAAATGTTAGATTACTGTACAGAAAGACATACTGACACAAGAAAATAGCTAGTGTAATCATTGATACGATTAAAAAGGCGAGAGAAAGGTTCTATTTAGAGCCTTAAGGGTTCCATATGGGCGTCCCCAGGGCGAGGGGAGACGGAGCACTTGCCCGTCGCTAGAATTTTAAATTTATTATCTCATATTTGTAATAATTTAATGTAATGATGACAAAACAGAATAATATAATATAAATAAAATGTAGGTACGTAAGTATAAAATGTATAAATATTTTCATTTATATTTTTAAATTAATTTCTCCTTTACCTTAGAAAAATGTCTAGGGACGCCCATAATAGGTTAGGTTGCATTAAAATAGTTAATAAATTTTAGTTTAAGTACCTAACTGCATAACTATTTGAATACCAGAATACCTTAATTAATAACCATAGTCCTTCCTTATATAATCATATAACATAAAGCTAATTGTATATTTATTTAACTATGCACGGCATATCATGTATAGATATTTATGGATACTGGATAGAAATTTCAATTGATTTATGTACTTTTAATCTATATAGGTCGCTATAGGACACTAGTCTGCTACTTTAATAAGTTTATGAAGCCATAACCCATTTTAGTTATTATTTATTTTTTGCGACTAGCATGTTAAAAAAAAAAAAAAATGATTTATGAGTATTTTTTTATATGTGTGAAATCGGGAATTGTTTATTTGATTTAATATTATCATTTCTAAGTTTATTTAATTTTATTTATAATACAATTGAAGACCAGAGGTAATTTTCTAGAGAAAAACAAATTTTAATGCTTGTTCGAATTCGTCAATAATGCTCAAAACAATTATTATCTCGTCGCTTGATTATACTAGCTGAATATCAGTTATTCATTATGACAGTATCTATACTCGTATACTATATAGTAGGTACCTACTTGTGTGTTTATTTTGTATTCCTCGAATCCGTAATATATATATTAACTGTATAATGTATTTCATTATTCTATTATTTGATTATAAAATTTATAACAAAAAAAAAAAAAAAAACATTGTAAAATAAAGATTTTGTTTAAACAATTAAAATTTAATAAATAAATAAATAAATAAATAAATAATTAAAAAGTATTTGTTTTATATTTTAAATTTTTAAAACGTTTACATTAAGCCACTGATAGACGGTATGTATTAAGTTAATCCTAACGTTTTGAAATGATGTGTATTTATTTGTTATACAAGTTTTAAATTTTAATGCATCGTTAAAGGTAATTAATATCATATATTAATAAATAACTTGTATGCGTAATGTGCTATTTGTTCCGCGATAATTTATACATACCTACTGTATCAAATGCTATGAGCCCAAACACAATTGAGTAATTAAAATCTGTTCTGATGAAATGCATTGGTAGAATTTTGATTTAGGATAGGTAAGCATATGAATATAAATCACGTGTTATAAACCAAGTACCAGGTATTTAATTCTTGGCTAACCTTTTTTGTTAATCGTGCTTAATCATTTCAATTAAATACATGTTGTTGACACATAGATATTTAAATATTTAAACAATAATAATAATGATACAAATAGATAAGGTACCTAAACGCTATATTTATTACATAATTCAAATTTTTAATAGCATAAAAACTTTAAACAAAAAGGATTCACTTCATTAGAAGACTACAGATACGCAGAATAACTAATCTAATGCAATTTTTATTCTTATCACAGCCCATAGGTATCTTTGACTATAATATTGTTGTATTAAGTGGATTCAAATTTTAATCAATTATTATTATTAATTTTCGTTTTCATGAAAAAACATAATATTTAATAAAGGTAACAGGCAGCAGCTAACTGTCGCATATACTATATACCATGTGATTGGTAATGTGTGACTGAGAGTGGACTTTACGATATATGAAAAAAGACTTCAAACTGTTTCGATTTTGAACAACATTTGCTTTTTTATTTCGTACCTTATACACCAACAATATCTAGTGAAAATAAATCTGAATTTGAAACTAGGTAGTTAATATTATTTTCAACTTTAAATGTGCTATCGATAAAAATGGCGTGGTGCCTTAAGAAAATCTTAGTCCAAAAAGTGGAAAAAGTTTTGGAACTGCTGCTCTATGGCATGCATATTTGCATCTATGACTAATATACACACTCTATGGCGTGTTTATGTTACGGTAAAAGTATAAATACCGGTAAATGTTCGAAATTCGGACAAAAATGTATAACTAATATATAAGTGCCGATCAAAAAATATATTGTGCAACTCAATATGCCACAGTTATCAAGCCTGCACAATTATTGCACTAATAAATAAATCATGAATGTAATTTCTATCTCTATTGTTATAAAAATTGTAAGGAGTTTTTACGACAGCGCTTACCGAGAGAACTACTGCACCGATTTGGCTGTAATTTTTTACTATTATACCTGACAAAACTGTCAAACTATTTTGTGTATCCTAGGTTTTACCGAAATCGATTGGATAATGTCCGAGATTTGGACATTTACCGGTATTCGTACTTGTACCGTAACATATATACTCTCTATACTACCTATAGACTATTCCTAATTTATGCGAATATAAATTATTTAAAATGTTTAATGTATGTAACGCCATTATAAGATAATATTGGTTATAAGTTCATATTTGATTTATAAGTAACAATTTTGATTAGGTCTCCATAGTTTCCATGTACACAAAAGGATAATTTTTGACAATTACACAAACATTAAAAAAAACTTGATTTGAAAAATATCTACAACACGTTTAGTATAAGTATATGTAAAATATATGTAAAAATTTCTATTGTGTTCTTCGTTATATTTCAGCTAAAACTTAAATAACAAAAGCATAAACTATAGCCTATAGGTACGTCTTGTCATTTGTTAATTGTTATGACTTATGACTTATATACGAGTTAAAACTTTAAAAGTATACAAAAAAAAAAAAGAAAAGAAATGACAATACATTTTAATTCATAACATTACATGAAATCAGTATTTATGAATATCTTAATTTTATATGTTATTTGTAATTGGTATTTCCTGTTTGTAAATAGTTGTAATAATAATTATACCTGTAGTAAAATATTAAAATTAAACTGAATGCCTAAATTGTACCATTATTTAGTACCTATATAGATGCCATATATTCAGGAATTTCGAGTATTCCATTAAGTCATGCTATCAAACTATTTCATATAGTTTGATACCTATTTTTAATTACATTTAATTGAGAACTTAGAAGTAATTTATTTACATACTTAAAGGTAAAATATTACTAGAAATTATAATTGAGTAATTTCTTATCAAATATTCATCATAAAATAAAAGGTATAAATTATTTTAATATTTTTTGTTTTTTAGACGTTTTAATATTAAAATAACTATAAATTTCTATATGCCTGTCGTATAATACGTAGAATTATTTTATAAATTATATAGTTCGTCTAAACATTATTAATTACTCTAGAGTCTAGCTGTAATGTATTTTAATGTATTTGTAGCAAATATTAAGCGAGAGCCAATCATACTGAAATTGTGGGTGGTATTTGAAGTTTAAATACTTTTTATATAAAATTGAGCTAGGTATTAATGGTAAGTTAGTGTAGTTTCACACCAATATAACACAAATCACTGATTTCATAACGATGTATGTATATATAGGTGATGATCACGTAGTAGAAATTGGAGAAGGGCTAAACTTCCAAAAATTATTCAGAATTGTATATGGGTACAAAAAATAAAAATATATTTTATTTATCTCTTCAATAAACAAATTTTTAAATAGAAGCAGAATGAAAGCTCATGAGTGATATTGATTAAATAAATGCTAACCTAACCTACCAAAAAATATTTATCTAAGAATTGCATGGCAAATTCCTGAAAAAATGCCTAGCTTATGTTATTTAAGAAGTGGTTTAAAATTTGAGATATTTCAGTAGGTATCTAATTCTGAAAAACCATGATAATAAAAAATAGTACCAGCATTTAAAAAAATTAGTATTTCTACATTTTTATCTATATTCTTAATTAAGAATTAAAAAAAAAAAAAAATAATAAATATACATAAATATGTATAATATTATTGGGTGCGCACTTCCAGCAATCAAGGTTTAGGTGTTAAGATGAATAATTAAAACATTTATAACCATTATACTTTTAGCTATATATTGATATGTTTTACTGTAATATGATTTTCTGTGATGGTGGAATTATTATTTTTAATGTTATCTACCATATATCTCTTTTAAAAAAATGAGAAAGTATTTATTACAAATACCGAATACAGTGAAACCTCTAAGTACCGGACACTTTCGGTCGCCGAAATTTTGTTCGCTATTTATAGGGAGGAAGGTAAATAAAAAAAGGAACAACATAAAACTTTATAGAAAACATGATAAACATATTATATCTATTTATAAATATATTTATATTACTTGTAAGTATGAATATATTTATACGTAATATTATTTAAAGCAAAATCAGTTACTGAATGTGACAGCCATTTCCTATGACGAATAAAATATGCTATATATTATTGTGTAAAAATGAAAAATGTATATTGTAATAAAACATACTTAGATAATAATTATGATGAAAATGATCAAAATCTAGCCATAAAAGTGACCGTTATTTAAAATTTATTCTGTAGATAAACAATAAAAATTTTCCTGTTTCTGAAAAATGCCTGTTATTTGGAGGTGTCCGTTTAGGAAGACTGCACTGTATATTTTAAATGAATAAAAATAATTTTAAGTTATTTAAAAATTTAAAAATTTAAATTTAGAGTATTTATCAATTATTTTGAAGTTTAAAGTAGTTAGATGTATATTACATACATCATGATAATATATTATTATCTATGCAAAGCATATTATGTATAAAATGTATTTACGAAATAAAGTATAATATATTTTAAGTAAATGTTTAATAGGAATTTTAAATTTCAAGCGCACCTTCTTCTTTTAGAGAGACCAAATTTTTCGCCACGTAGAACCCTTGTTTGAAATGTTTCTCATTGTTTGCGGCAGACTCTGCATTGGTCCTCTCAATGATTTCCTCTAACCGAGAGATTTTGGCTCGTTCCATATCCAATTCGTTCATCAGCCTTTCCTGAAAGTATTATGAGTACCTACTTATATCTACCATCTATTCCATCCGAACTTTTATTATTATTATAGATTGATTTTCAACGATTTACACTTACACGAGTTTCGATAAGTTCAGCGTTTTCCGCCATAACCGCCAGTTCACGTTGTTGGGCCACCACTAGCTGTCCCGCAAATTCCTGTCTAGTTGACACAGCAGCTCGGAACCTTTCCTCTTTGTCGGCCAGTTCGTTTTCCAACGCAGTTAGTTCTGACCGAAACTTTCTTTGGTCCTATATACGATTTGTTATGAAAATTTAAGATGTAAAATTAAAACTTTAACATCAAAATCTGAATTATGATTTTTAATGTAAACTCTATTCCAAGCCATGATTTTTCGACCTATGAGTAAGTATGTCTAACATCAGATGTCCTAAAAAAATATTTATTGAAATAGGTAATCAAAAATTAAAAAAATTGTGTTATTATTCTCTTGATAAACATATATATGTGAAGATTTATAATTACTTTTAATAAATATATATTATATGTATTGATATTTTCCAGTTGGTACAAAACACAACACAGGAAATTAATAGAAAAAATGGAATGAGATATTTTAAAAATCACAGCGAAAACAGTGAGACTATTAAATTGGTGTAATTTTTGTATAAAAAAATAAAAATGCCCTACACGTTTCCCTAGCGTTTAATATTATAAGAAACATTGTAATATTGCAGACCGTCGCAGTCGTAAACGAGTTGGAAGACTAGTTTTTATGTAAAACAATTTATTTTTAATACTACAGTATCATAACAGTGATTGGTAAACGGATGTTCATGGACATGTTCGTTCGCATGGTTTCATCTCATATTTAACGGCGATTACCTGTTTGGGCGCAGTTTAAAAATATTACCTGAAAATAATTGTTAACACGTTTGGGCACATTAATGAAAACACGTTTGGGCACAATATGAATATTGTAACTATGTAGTAATCGAAAGCCTTATAATATGTAATCTAATCTAATATTAAGTAAACGATCGTTTCATGTATGATCTATAAACCATGTCTTAATTATTGGAAAATACGCATCAAACATAGCTGTAGATATTTATCTGCTACTTGCTAGTATTGTTGTGTTCATCGTTTAACGTTTGATGGTTTACAGTTGTTGTGTATTTAGCTCTCGTATAGCATGACGTGTACTACAAGTTTTATTATTTGATATTTTAGTTTTAGTGTTTTAAAATATTTATTTTAATTTTGTATAAAATATGGAATTGAAAGTCGACGAAAAATTTGAAACTCGAATAGGCGATTTATGTATTATAATTGATGGCTATACATTTATTAAAAGTAAGGAAATTAAAGATAAAAATATTTATTTTAGATGAACAGATCATAAATTTAAACTTAAATTTTATTTACACCAAAGTTGGGTTTGTAAAGTTGTTATTAAAACATTACACTGAAAAACATATACAGGCGGATTTGGCTTCAAAACTATTTTGGTTCGAGTTTATTACCGTTTGAAAAAGTTAAGTATGGTTTTGTTAATCTTATGTTTATAGTGCCGCCCAATGTGACAGAATTTACTGATTATGTACTTGAAAACTATAGAAGATTCACAATTTCCATCTCTAATTTGGACTGAGGAGAAATTTTTATACTTAAGAACAACTAATGACCCGGAATCTTTCTATTCAAATTATAACCAACAATTTTATAAACAACATCCAAATTATCAAAATGTTATAAACGTATTGACGGAAATTCAAACGGAAACCAATTTTAAAATAAAGAACATTGAAAGAAAAATAATTAATAAATTAAAAAAAGAAACCGAAGAAAAACTAAATTTTGTTTAAGCATGTTGGGAAGCGTATGAAACTGAAAAAATATACTAAATTGTATGAAAACATTAGGGCCATGTTTGACGGTAAAAAAAAATTTATTAATTAATAGGATAATATACAATAATATTAATAAATAAAAATATTAATTTAGGATATTAAAAAAAAAAATCTTAATTTTATACTTTTGGAAGACTATTAACTATTTAACTCCTTGCGGTGTTTTCTGAGCAATGCTGATAAGCTTAGATTTAGTATAATATATTAATATAAGTAAAAAATAAATGTGCCTAAATGAGCTTTTATGAAGGGAAATATTACGCTGAAACGTTGTACGGATTTACGCCCTAAGTGTTTTGTTTTGGGTAAATGCGCCCAAACGTATTTCCCCACATTTAGCATGTGGTGAAAATTATTGACACGGTAGTACCTACGTTACATACATACTTCAAGTTTGGTCTTTTCTTGCTCTTCGCGGAAATGCGATTCAAGTTCTTCGAAAAGTTTTTGCATCTGAAAATCACACAACACACAATGATTATTACAATGTATTATCACTACTCATAATTCGCTGCGATTTTCACATATTGTCAAGTGATAAATTTGTGATAAATTAAACAGGTTTAAGTATAATTGGTAATATTAGGTAGTTATATACCAGTAACATACGTTGTTTTGGTGTTGGATCTCGCGGCTCTGTAGCATCTCTTCCAGTTCTTTGTCGCGTTCGACAATTTTCATAAGGTCCATGTTGAGCGCTCTGAGAAAGGCTTCGACGCGGCCCACCGAAACTGCATTGTCTGGTTCCGTTTGAGAGGCTGCCTTGCATATGTTCTCTAAATGTCCTATGCTCCTACAGAAAGCACACTAATTGTTAATAATCATCGCATTCGGTACATGTTGTAACACGATTAACTTATCGATGATTAATACCGAAGAAAAGGCAATTGAACTTAACTAATTATTGGTCATTACTCATTTCTCGGTAAAAATGTATTATCTCGCATATGTTTATAAGTCTAGACTGGACAAATAAATAATAAAAATTACTTAAACTATTGGTTTAAAACATGCATTTTAGATATTTGATATGATGACTTAAAAATTCAAAATTTTTCCAAAATTTTTAAATTTAACGTAGAGATAATTTGTGTTGTATTCGTTTATAAAATAATGAATGTACCTACAATATTTTGTGTTAAATTTAAGATTAGAACGAATCCTATTAGAATTAATGTATCATCAAGCTTAAAAATAAAAATATTATAAAGATAACCTCAAAGACTTTTATTGGTGTTTAAACTTTAAATAAGTTATTAGGTACCATTTAAAAAATGTAATGTTTAAATAATAATAATAATCAAAATTAAAATCCTACTACATTCATTATACCACGTTTATATGCAGTAGTTAATGCGTATTAACTCAATGCGGATTGAGTTAATGCGCACTAGGAAGCGGGTTTATATGCATATAAAATATCAAGATTAGATGTTGAACAAAATTAAAAGTTAATGCGAATGTTTTTTAGACCGTACTTTATACTTTGGATTCCATAACCAAAATAATTATTGTACTTTTATCATGGTGTTATTTTTTAATTAAAATTGAAATTCCCGCTAAAATATTAATTTGCATTAAAGCGTTTATATGTATTTTTTAATCCTGGAGTAAGAGTTAATTTGATTTGACGAATCGAATTAAATAATAAATTCACATTAGTGTTATTCGAATTAAAAATGCGGTTATATGCATCCAATTCTCGGACTAACTCAATGTGCATTAACTGCTGCATATAAACGTGGTATAGATGTACCATCCTTAATTTTAAGTTTGGTAGTAACTAAATTTACTCTAATACTAAATCTCTAATAACATAAAATTGATCAAGCTGAACAAAAATTTGGTACATTGTGCTTTTATAAATAACTTACAATTTAATCATATTTGTGTCTTTAATTGTTTGCAAAAGTGTTTGGATGTCTTCAGTGTAAGAACATTTGAACGAAACAATATTTTGCTGCTCCTTCCATCGATTATTCCGAAAATTCATTGGTGCTGTGTCTTCTGTGTGCGAATATATATATATATATATGATATAATATTATGTTTCATTAAGACGTATACATTTCATAAACCTGCACTAATAAATATGTTTTGATTAATGAAACGTTTCATGTTTGCAATTATATTTCAAGTTAATTATTATGTTCTATGATTTTTTAATTTATGATTAAATCAAATATTTATTAAGTCACGTGTTTTCAAAAAACGAATAACTGCAAAAATTAAATATTTCAATAACAGTGTGTGATTTTTGTTATCCTTTTCATCTAACATCTAACCAAATCCACCAAATTTTGTATGGACGGTGGACTATAAGATAGTTGTAACTGATGTAACCAATAACATAATTTTATAATTTATTATTTTAAGTTAGTGCATTCACTGAGCATCCTATTAATAGAAAACTATAAATCATAGAAAGTACTTACTGAACTTTTCCAAAAATTGATGAAGTGTGAGGTAACCCTTTTGCTCGACATCCAATGTATCAAATACGATCTCCAATTGCTCCGGCGTCATTGAGAGTTCGTCTTTTAATTTCTAAACAAATATTTTTTTTTTTTTTTTTTTTTTTAATAAAGAAATAATTTGATCCTTAGAATTAACTAAATGTATTAAAATATTACATATCTTACACATGTTAAATACTAAATGCATAATTATATTTTTGATTTAAAAAGTAACATTGTAGGCGCAATTACATACATTATTACATAGAATATTGAGTAATGTTTTGATCGACAATCTGATCGACTTAGTCGATTTTTTTGAAATTTTTAATTATTACATATTATACGAGTATATTCTGATGTAACTTTCAGCTTTTTTACAAATATATTGGCATTTGATCATCATACCTTTATACATCATTATTATATTCTTATTTCCTTTAAATGTAGTTTTGTAATATAGTATGATAAATAGATTTTTACATTATTATACTGTAATGTATTTTGTAAGCATATTTTTATTCAAAACTTTTTTGGGAAGTAAATAAAAAACCAAAATAAATTATTAGTATGTAAGTACAATAAATCGTTTTAAAAATCAAACAAATTTTGATTTTACTTGAATGAGCTTATAAGTTATATCTTTATAGCCTCACCGAATAAAAAAAATAAATATATTAAAAGTAAGAAGTGCTAAATATATTTTTTAAATATACCCCCCTCCCCTTTCTCGTGGATGACCTCTAAATTAGCTACCGGGTATAATTGTAATGGTATAAATAATATAGTTATTAGTGTATTTAGGTACCTATGTTCGTTCAATGGTTTTTTAGGTAGGTATTATAAACGGTATAGTGACAATGCGTTGTGTAAGCCGCTATAATATATGCACTGGATCGTTTATTCAATTTTAAATGTTGTTAATTGTACGCACCACTATATAGGTGCCTACTGTGTAGCTCTATGAGAATTTATACAAGTTTTTTCTTCATTATTTATTGTCTATATGGCGTCGTAATGTGTTATAATGGTATGTATTCCGTCATTGCCTTCGTATATGCATATTGCTTTTCGTGCGGACAATAACTGTGTAGTTAGGACACAAATTACGATAATTACTTTGCTTGTTCGTTGTTTAATAATAATCGAGTACATTATAAAAATATATATATATATATATATACCTTCCTATTTGGAATACGAAGCAGTAAAATAATTTATTATATGTGGTGAGTTATTGCGCTCGGCGATGGACTGGTTTTAAGTTTTATGTAAAGGAAAAATTGTGAATTAAATTTAATATACCATATACATTTTCCTGCGCTAAAACGTATTTACGACGAAAATTTGATCGTCTAAGCAATTGTAAAAGCTATATATATATATATATATGTAATTTGTACGTTAATTATATATGTAATAATATACGTACAAAATTTACTTTTATCGTGTTTAATTTATTCTCATTCAAATATTTTAAACTGTGTGTTTACTATACTCTATACAGTATATAATAATTATGTGCATTACACATATAATGTTTTATAATTTTTTTATTGTATTGTTTTTTAAGAATATTTTTCCACGTTAAAATTTGGTATTAAATGGTTTCGAAGAATTCTATAGGAAACTGGGTACGACAACATGCGTGTTTAAACAAGTGTTCGCCATTATTATAGGCGTAAAAATCGCTAATGCGTGTGTGGCAACTTCCAATATATACAACAATATATTAGTTTCAAATTTAATTCATTTTTTTATGGTCGTTTATTGTACTTTTTGAAATTTAGAATTTGTATTTACATACCTAATAAATTGATAATAAATTGATGAAACAGAACCGATAATGGACGATTATTGTAAGTTGTCCCAGATAATAATATAAAAATCAATACATTTTTAAAGTGTGTTTGTGATTTACTGTGACCGTTGGTTAAATAATTGTCATTATAATTATAGTTTAATAAATCTTAATATATTAAGCTTATTATTTGTTTATTGTTCTATTACGAGTATAATACCTATAAGTGTATTAAACAAGATAAGTAAACATATGATAGATAAAAGTACTAAAAAAAACACATTTAGCTATATTAAAAAAAAACCGTATTAATATAAGTTATAAAACGCAATTAAAAAACGTAATGGGGTAATACACAAAATTTATTTTAAAAATCGTGACGTCCATGTAGTAGAACTCTGTACTCATAAAATACAGGTATTATGAGGGTGTATGTGTACCATAGATGTGTTACATTACGCCACTATTCAACCGTTACATATGAAAACAAAAGATTTTAATTGACCGGGATGCGAAAAAAATAAGTTTTGAAAAAAGATATACCTACCAGCTACTCACGACATGCATGTTTCTTGAGACTCAAAAAACGGTCAAAATTTCAATAAAAATGTGAATTGATTGTAATTTATGGTGATGATTGCGATTCGTAGCGAACACTCGATTGATTCGCCTTGGTCGATACGTCAAGTGTAATAGTGTGTTGTCATTTCATTTATCTTAAATTCCGTGTTATCTGTCAATATACCGCAGAGGCTTAATTCATGCGATTGTAAATTATTATAATATATGAAACTGCAGTTGGTAACGTGAATTCGAGTTGAATGTTATGCAAACTTCGGTTTGCATAACCTTTTTCATTGCATATTGTAATAATAATAATAATAATAATTGTACTATACGCGTGCTATATATGTATATATGCATGGTATAAATTATAAAAAAACTAAATATATTCCGGCAAAAATCAAGATCCTTCGTCCTTTGTCCTTTTCCCGAGGCTAATAATATCTACGCGTGATCGCAGTATCGCAACAACGACGACCGCCACCACGACAAGTCCGTAATCTATACATCATAGGTTATAGGTATACTGCATAGTGGTATCCCATTTTTTATAGATATAATATAATCCTTACTTGCATGTCTCGCCTCACGATGAATCCCTTTCCCTCGGGGTCGCCGAGCTGAAAGAGTTTGTGTCCGATGGCCTCCATGACGGAGGTAGCTACGTGCACGGTATTTTTTCAATTCTTATCTCGAAACGCCACGACCCGATGCCGTGTTGAGCTCGCCGGTAGGAATGTACCGCAGTCGCAGTTGTCGCAGCTGGTTGGGCTGGCAAGCAAGCAAGTAGGAAGAGGTGGCGCAATAAAGTAACGCGGCGCACAAAGCTGCGTTCGCGCGGCAGACGGCAGTCCAAGGTCGCAGGCGGCGAGCACGCGTCGTCGATAAAAGCGGACCAGGCGACAGCGTGCGACTTTTTCGCCTTTTCAGCCGAAAAACGTCGCTGCCGCCGATTCAACGCTGATGCTAGCGATCTATATAATTCACTATAGACATAATATCATAAATATTTATTATGAATATAGATATGTGTTGAGTTTCTGAAACATAAATGATTAAGGAATAATTTAATTTTAGATTTTGAACGGAGCGATGAATGTTATTGATTTTACTATGATTTGTGTTCTTTTTGTATGTGTAGTCGTACACGATAAGTAGTTGATGAAATGTTTAGATTTTCAACTTCAAGGAATGGTTTTGGACTGACGATTGTCTACCTTTTTTATTTTTTATTTTTAGCTTATTCAGCTTTAATTTGTTCATTAGTATGATAAAAGTTTGAAATATTTTATTTATAAACTTAATCTCAGTAGCTAATATTTAATACATAAATACATATTTATATATATTATATTCATTTTTAATTTTAATTTTATTCTTAAATTAATAATAAATTAACAAAATACATGTAAACATAAGAAATCATCAAAAGATTGTAGGTACTTTTGATACTTCCTTTTAATCACTAATTATAACATGCATATAAGGTGTGCAAGTCGACGTAGAAAATCACTGAGGATTTTGGGAGTTTATTATTTTACACGATTATGATATTGATATCGTAGGCAAGAGTGCAAATGTTTTAGTGCGTCAATTGGCGTATAAATAATAAATCATCGCTGTCACCCCGTGCATCCATAAGTCACATAAGTGCCTATCATTAATTCATACGCGCGATTTATAGTATGTACTATTATTATTATATTATATTTACTCATATTCCGTGTTTTTCATATGACGCAACAAATATATCATAATATAGAGTGATAAGCAAAAATCATTGATCGCAAAAACGTTTATAACAAAAACAACAAATTAATTATACACTATAGCAACGTGTTATGTAAGTAATGCTTGTTGTGATATCTATCGCTTCGTATCAATTTTATCGTACAATAATCAGGCCTGATATTTATTGCTTGGATCAATTATTTATTTCATAATCTATGCCTGTACGCCGACCAGGATTAAAATAGGTAGAACGAACACATCTCCGGGACTCAGCGTTTTGTCAAATTAAAATGTTATAAAATGGTAATTATTTTTAATTTTGATAGTGAAAAGACATTAAATTTTGAAATAAACTAAAAATAAAATAAAATTATAGTATTAAATTATATTCTTGAGAAATATTAGGCGCGTAATACTGCGTACCTACATAAATTATCATTTATCAATACCATCTATACGTACATACTGACTGCTACCGTGATCAGACCGTGTTAAGACTGTTGTCCATTTTTATAATTAATTTTAAACAATTTGTTACCCGGAAGATGGTCCACAAAAACATCAATAATAAATGTTATTACATCGAATGTTTTTATCATTGATATTATTTAGGTAATTTGGTTAAAATTAGCGATTAAGTTAACCAGTTACGTCATGTAAACGAGTAAAGTTAGGTTAAAAGATGAATAAAGAAGTATTTAAATATATTAAAGAAAAAACAAAAATATTTATACATAGAAGGTGTCTATAGTAAGTCTGAAGTAAGAAAAGTACAGGTTATTTATTTATTATTTTTTTTCTTTCACATGGACCATTTTGTGTGTCACCAGAGAAAAGACCACTGATAAAAATACATTATTTTTAATTTATGTGGTGTTATAGACGCATTTATGTAGTTAGTTCTCGCTAAAAATCGCGCCACAGCTAATGATTTATTTGAGCAGTACATTCATTTCATATACCACGTTACAAGCGGCCATAAGTCTATAGAAGCCCCCGAAAGTTCATGAAATAGAATATTTTTGAATATTTGATTTTAATATTTATAGAACATTTCCCACAGTATTAACAAGCTGTCTAATGACATGCAATATATGCATAGTGATACAAACTTGACGACCCCAGGAAGTTAGAGATTTCTTTAACACAGAAATCAAATTAATAAATAGTAATTCTCAAAAAAGTCAACTAGAGCTTATATACTTATTAAAACAATAACATTATTTTATATTTGTATGTTTAAAAATCAACTCTGTAAACTTTCGTTTAATTAAAATAAATATTTTCTCAGTGTTTTTTTTTTTATATCATAGTAAAATTACTGTACTCCAAACTCGGATGATATACCTTAGCACGGGGCCCCTGCTACGTGGCACGTTAACTGCAGATATTTAATATTATATACTGGAAAATAAATTTGTGGCTATCATGTAAGATTATATGGTTTACGTGACGCCACTGTGTATTTTCTGTAGTAACACGTAAAGTGGTCTGTATGAAATAGATCTACTTAAATGAAGCAGATAAGAAAAAATAAGGAAAGCAAGTATAAAACCTCCAAAAATGATGGAATTTTCTAAGTTTTTTTTATCTGTTTTAAAAATAAAAAAACGGAAAAATAAATAACACTAAATAAATTCATTATTTATAGTTTTTTATTTTTTTATTTTAATTGTTTTTTAAATAACAATAGTTTTCACCTATACCTACTATAATGTTAATATCTATATTTATACAAATTTTAACTTTCAAATGATATTTTTAGGTAGTATTATATAAAAGTTTAAATTTTGTGTAATTATTAAGATTACAACAAAGTGTTTAAACATTAAAAATATATTATTTTAAAAAGTGAATATTATATTTAAAATTTGATGAGATTATTTTTGAATTGGTTAATCACCACAGTGGTACTAATATTATTGATATTATTTTTAACAACGAGCATGTAACTATAAAGAAATGCTTACGAAAATGTGGCCAATATTAAAATGTACAATGGACACAAGTACAGGACTTTATTTTATTCTTAATTGATAGGGACTCTGAGAGGTATTAATGTAAACTTGGTTGTGCGCATATTCATTCTACCACATGTAAACCACGAAGAATGAAAATGTCATGGAAATAGAGAGGTCTCATATGTAAGAAATTTCGTTCAATTTACATAAAGATGATGAATATTAATACAAGAATAAAAAATAGAGAAGTAACTTGGGGCGTATAATGACTGTGTATAGTAGATATCAAGTATATCTCGTCATTGAGTAGGTTTCTGTAATAATGTGTTAAATTTGAATTCAATAATAATTTATATATTGATGAAAAATGAAAAATGTTTGGAACCTCGAAAATAGTTCAACAATAAAAATAAAATGATTTTAAATTTTATCAAATTTCGTCAAAATTTGAAATCAAATGCTATTAAAAAAAAACTATTATGGCTATTTATTTAGGATATTTAATTGCTATAAAAAATTTGGGAGGATCCTGATTCAATTTTTAAGTTATTTTACTCATTTACAAATAAAAATTGAATCGAATAAAAACTAACAAAAATAGACAATTTTTAAGGTCTATAAATAACTTACAAAGAGCCAAAATATTTTCATTATATTTTTAAAGTATTAATATAAATATTTTTTTTTTAAATTGCAAGTCTCTATAATTATTTGTTTTTTTAATTAAGTATAACAAAAAAAGAAAATCGATTTTGTTAAAAACTGCTTTTGTATAACTATTTCTAGATTTTAGTAATTTTTTTGATTACCTCAAATGCAAACTAGTTCCAATTTACTACCAGAATATTCCCTTAAAGGATATTAGAGCATTTTTTTCCTATAAAAAATGTATTTAGATTACATAGTAAAAAAATTATATTCAGCGGAGCGCTTAGAATTTAAAATGTATTTTTTTTAGTTTATGTTTGATATTTTTATTTATAAATAAATTAATATTTTCTTCATTATCTATGGATGTTAAGTTATCAGATTAAAAGTCTCTTGTCATTTTAATTAACATATTCAAATCATAGTAAATATTATATCAGTTATTACAATTAGTTAAATTCTAATAAAATAAAAAAAAATTATTATTAATTATTATATTTTATTTATTTTTTCAGAAGTAATTAAATACATTTTTTTTCACTAGTTAGTCGTATGTATTATAGTTATTTGAAATGAAAAAAAATCAACTTAGTTACTCTATTGCGATATATTTTATGTATAAGCACCTACAACAATATCTGAATAATCTACATAATATATTAATACGCTACATTACTATGTACGTGGTTTAAGTCATCTGTTATTTGTTAATCATTACTAGTCGACCGACAGTGAAACATTTGCATTCATTCGACTGTCATCGGAATCATATATGCAAATCGTCCGAAATATATAGTTTTGATCTTCATTCGGCGTATTGTGTTAGGATAGCTTTGGTGTTTTTTGAAAGTTATTCTGTGGGTTGTGATCGAGTCCGTTATCGGTAAAGATTTTAATTTCACGTGCAAATAACTAATGACTATTTTGAAAGATTGTCGAAAAAAATTAGCTAATAGTCAGTTGTGTAATGACTCGTGACTAATAGAGAGTATGGATGGAGTATAGAATAACACTGAAGTTTTAAGGTGCAATAGGAAAAAAAAATAAAACTGTTAAAGAAGTCAGAGCTTGAAATGAACAATTTTCTAACTGTAACGTAACGCCCAAATTTTATTGTGGGTGGGGTCAATTAGTAACAGCTTTTTTGCTCATTAAAGCAAATATTTATTATAGTAAATTATTATTTTTTTTAATATTTTGACACTATTTATTCACCTATTAGTTGATGTAGATATAGTTTTTCAGTATATTAGGGCTTATATAGATGGCCCCCTTAAACGCATAGATTAAATTATTAAACAGAGAAGCCAGAAAAAGTTAGACTTTATAGAATTATTTTTATATTTTAAATCAATTTATTTTCAATATTTATTTAATGTAATGATATAAGTCTTGTGATACCTCAATTTGAACATATTTCGAGGACTTCAGGATCTGATCCCCGGTGGCCCTGGCCTAAATACACCACTGTAGCTTATAACTTACTAACTAATATAAAATGTATGGTTTATATATTTACTATATTTAATTAAATTAGCTCAATATTGATAAAATTTCCTATCTCAGAGTTTTTCAAACTTTTTTTTTATATTTCGTAC